ATATATATATATATATATATATATATATATATATATATATATATTTGTTAGAAAGAGACCAAATGGAAGTCTAAATTACAAGGACCACAAGGAAAAAAATCTAAGAAATAAATATAATACCAAAGAGGGTTGGTTTGTTTGTTTTTAAGGTAGGGAAGATTAAAGCAAGACAGTGGACTAAAAATAACTAGGCAATGATTGTGTTAAGATTATGGATATGGGCCACTTCTTTTTTTGTCAGACTAAAATTTAAGTGACTGGTATAGATCTTAAGCTTTGTATTTCTCTGTGCCAGAGGGGAGAGGAGTGGGAGAGGTCAGTGAAATACATGAGGGATGTACAAAATACATGAGTCACAGAGATGAAATGTACAGCATCAGGGATATAGTCAATAATACTGTAATAGCTCTGTATGGTGACTAGACTTTCTGTGGTGATCATTTTGTAATATATAGAAATACCAAGTCAGTATGTTTTACCCCTGAAACTAACATAGTGTTGTAGGTCAATTATACTTCAATTAGAATAACAAAAAATAAAAATAAAACCAAGTTTAAAAAATCTTAATTTCTCTAAATTTAACATTTTCAGTTCATCTGTGGTAAATTAATAAGCTGATGGCCTAGTTGAATAACATGTCAACACAATAGCAATGGTGTTGAATACTCTGCGAACAGAATGCATCATAAATGCTGAATAGCAATACTAATTTAATTAGTGGTAGGAAAAAAACTACATGATGTTATTCATTGATCATCTGAGCAATTCATTATTTAGTAAGCACTACAGGGTATGTATCTGTGTGTGAGGCACTGTCTCTTCAGTTCAAGGCATTTCAGAAAGAGAAGGAAATACTTCTCTAAAGAAGTATTAGAGAAGATATACTAATCTGAAATAAAAATAGCTCTTATAATCATGAAGAATAAGCTTTTATGCACTTCTTCTGTGTGCTCCCTTTTTGAAGTTAGTTATTATATCCAGTTTTCCAGCCTGCAGGGGAGAAAGCAACCCAAGTAAACTTCTGGAGGAAAGCAGATCAATGTAAAACACTGATTGGATGAGGAAAGGAAGTGTCTCTGAATTGCTCGTCCATATGCCCACCTTCTCCTCAGAGGCCAGATGCTCTTGAGAGTATTGGTCCCTCCTCCATTGCTCACCTGTCCTGTTGTGTTTCTTTCTTTTCTTAATTGAAGTATAGTTGACTTACAATATTATATCAGTTGCAGACTCACACAAGAAAGCCCAGAAACAGCAGCAGATGTCCCAGCGTGCCAGCCTTGAGTTGCAAACACAAGCCTGGATGGCACATGGAGCGTGCTCCCAAAGACAAAAAGAGACTTAGGCACATTATTACTTTTCAGCTATGCACCAAAAATGTTTCCAGTTCTGTTTAACATCAGTTTTATTCAACAAATAAAAGAGTTAAGAGAAATAGTAAAGTATTTTTGCCTCCATTAAATTTCCTCACCTGCTAGGTAAATTGATGGCATGTCTCTGCATAGTTTAAATTGCCTTCTCTCCATCCTACTTCCTTTCCTTGGCGGTGGTCCTAGTATGTGGTCAGCCATGTTGTTTGGTACCTTATACCAGTTAACACTTAATAAATGCTTGCTAATGATGATGTTATGTAACCATATAGGAACTACTGTATGATTGTGACTAGGTAGCTCTACATTTTCCTTGGACATCTAATGGTTGATACCATTTCATCTGATCAAAATTAATATTCCTGAAGTTACCCAGGAGTTTGGTTAGTTTATTTTTAGTTCAGGTGAGTACCATTCACAGCCTTTAAAATGAGTCTGAGGTTTTTTTACTCCTCAATTGAATTTTTCCAGGATGAAGTTTTAAATAGCAGCTCCTTCATACTAAATCATTGAACTCTAGTATTAACTGAAGAGTTATCAAGTGACTCTAAATCTTAGCATGCTAATAATGGCAGTATATCAATTTTCTAGACTAAACGTTAGCATAGTAATTCGTAAATTCCTCAGGGAGGTCTACTTCCCTTTTGCCTTTAAAGGGTTTTGATCATTGTTTTCATTTCAGAAACTTTAAAATCATAGGAAATTTTAAGCCATTTTTAAAATATCCTTGTTATAAAATAAAGAATATTAGTTTTCATGTTACAATTCTCTAAGTTACCCTTGGCCTTTTATTGTTTTGTTTTTTTAACAGAAATTAAAATCTAAATCTTCAGGTAACACATCTGTCAGAGCTTCCATTCAAGGCCCTGGTAAGAGGTAAGTTGGGATTGCTTTGGTGAATTATACACACTGGTGAGCATGGTCTAGTAGATTTTGTTACCGTTTAACAACATTGAGCAACAAAGCACCACTGGTCGGCTTTCAGGAGACAGACCAACAGCAGCATTTTTCAGTGTTCTTATGGTCTGTGACTCCTTAGTGTAAAGGAACTTGAATGGGAGGTTATTGCTATTGTAAATAATTTTCTGCTGCATAAAAAAAAAAAAAGTGTGAATGGTTTCTCAAAATTAATGTTCTGTTATATTCTTCAGTATTTACTTTGTCCCTTACATTATTTGGCAAACACATTTTTCTGTGACTCATTTTAACTCCTTGAGTGTTCCTGAATATACAGGTTTTATCCAATAACACACTGACCCTGAAATAAATACCTCTTCCTTGAAATAGTTGGCTTGCTCAGGAAAATATACAATTTGATTACAAGAATATAGAGTCAATGAGGCCAAATTAACTTCTCATGTTTCTTTTATGTTTTAATTTTATTTTTCTTCCGTCTGTTGAACATGTCCAGCTGCAGCCCAGTATACCTTGGTGGAAGCGCTGTTCCATGTGGGGTTGGGACAAATACTTCACAGAGGTAAGATGTCAGAAATATGTTATACTTTCTTAATTAGTTTTTTCCAAATTGATACCCTGTTAAAACATAGTTCTTATCATCTTGGCATGAGTCTGTTTCATAATAAAAGGTATATTTTGTTAGCCAGTCTAACTAAGAACACTTTACTGAAATACTGATTATTATTGGGTGATAGTTGTTAAAAGCTATGGTGTTGGGTATGTGTTGTTCATTGTGTTGACACCCTTCTTTAAGAGCCACTTGAAGTGCCTGGATCACTTCCATCCCAGCTTGGTTTCCACAAGACACCAGGAGTTGAGCTTCTATCTCGCCATTTTTCCTTCCAGGCAGTGAAAACCAGTGAGTAGGACAGGTGAACTATATGATGTGTCACCCACACTGCCTTGGCCAGTCAGCGTGAGAAGCTGTGGGTCTGTAGTACCCAAGGAGTTCTTAAGCACAGTCTCTTGATTTTACATATTTCAAAAGGAGAAACCCTCCTTTTGTTGTCTCTTCCCCAACCCTCCTTTCACCCAGGATCTCACTCAGTACCTCTTTCAGGGCAATCTTATGGTCATGATGCTACCTACCCCAAGCCCCTATCAGCCTCAGACTCCTAGCCTATTCCATTGTCATTGTCGTAAAGAGGGGAAACAGATCGATTTTCAGCAATTTTTTTTTTATTGAAGTATAGTTGATTTACAATGTTGTGTTAATTTCTACTGTACAGCAAAGTGATTCAGTTATACATATATATACATTCTTTTTCGTATTCTTTTCTGTTATGGTTTATCACAGGATATTGAATATAGTTCCGTATGCTATACAGTAGGACCTTATTGTTTATCCATTTTATATATGATAGTTTGTGTCTGCTAATCCCAAACTCCCAAGCCATCCCTCCCCCACCCACCTCCCCCTTGGCAACCACAAGTCTGTTCTCTATGTCTGTGAGTCTATTTCTGTTTCGTAGATAAGTTCACTTGTGTTGTATTTTAGATTCCACATATAAGTGATATCATATGGTATTTGTTTTTCTCTTTCTGACTTACTTCACTTGGTATATAATCTCTAGGCCCATCCGTGTTGCTGAAAATGACATTATTTCATTCTTTATTATGGCTGAGTAGTATTCCATTGTATATATGCACCACATCTTCTTTATCCATTCATCTGTCGATGGACATTTAGGTTGTTTCCACGTCTTGTCTGTTGTAAGTAGTTCAGCAAATCATTTTACTGTCCTGTTAAGTTTGGTTCTATTTTTATAGAGGCCCACTTAACTAGATTATTATATTTTGTCTAGTTATTTCTAAAGCACTTCTTCATTTTCTGATAAAAGAAGTAAAAGACTGAGCTGTATGATTGCATTCTGATCACGTTTCAGGGGAGATAACCATTATATTGAATAATGGAAGTGGGATCCAAAAGGACATTGTTGGAGGGTTGTAGTAGAGCTGGCCTAGGTCTGAGGAGGCCTGGAAAAAAAGGGCTATAGGACCAGAGGGAAACTGGGAATCTGGGGAAGCCTAGACCAGGAACACCAGGCAGCAGACAGGCTATAGCAACCCACAGGGGTGATGCCTGCTGTGAGGGCTGTAAATAAAGAGTTGATAGCACCTGAATCGTCGTGCGTTGAGGACTGTCTATTCAAAGGATTAGAGACACACACTGCCCTTAGAGAAGAATACAGTCTGGCTGCTTATCAATCCTGACTTACTGTGTCTACCCAGTTGGATTTGTCTCAGTCATTGCCAGACCACTCGGCCTCGAATCCAGGCTTCCCTCAAGTCATCCTTGAGCTATACGGCAAACGTTTCCTAGTTACCATCCACTTCCATCTTCTGTAGTCTCACCCACATAGAGCATTAAAGAAAATATACCTAACATAACATTTTGAGCACCTCTCCCCTGTTCAGAAGGAAAATGAGAGCTGCCGTCTGTCTCATATTAACTCTAAACTCATTGTTTGCTTTACCAAATTGTTGTTCTTCCTCTTCTCTTTTTAGTTCTTTCACCTCCAGTTAAAGCCTGGGCTAGATACTCTACTTCCACTAGAACACTTGTTATCCTTCTACTTTCCACTTATATTTTTCTACCTCTGAGTATTTTTACACTTATTCCCTGTCTAGAATGACAGTCCTTTCTAATGCATGTCCCCACTGTCTTACCTGCTTAATTCACTTACTGTAGACTCATTTTGTCATTCTGTTTGAACTTCCTTTTCCTTTTCTTTTTTTAGATATTCATTGAATGCCCTCTATGTCCTAGGTACTAGATACCAAAAAAGGTAAAACACTGGCCAGTAGAGAAACTGATAAAGAAACACATGATTATACCCAGGGCATGAAGAAAAAGGGCTCTGATGACAGAATACCTAAGTTCAGATATTCACTCTGCCTCTTACAAGCTGTGAAGCCTTGAGAAGGGATATAATCTTACAAAACCTCAGTTTCCTCACCCATAAATACTTTAGTTTTTATGGGTGAGGAAACTGAGTTATTGTAAGGATTAAATGAGATAATACATTAAAATTGTGCCCATGTTGCAGGTCAGCTAGCTACTATAGGTACAGTTGTTTGGAGTTGTTTGTGGGTATTTCTCGTCTGTTTGTGCTGCCTTCTCATTGTGTTATACCTCAGCTGCAAGAATCCTATATTCTACTACTTTTCCATTTTATCTCAGGAAATATCTTTATGTGCTCTGGTTTACTTCCAAGAGTAAATATTTTATTAAGATTCTCTTTTATGTAGTATATTTTTACATGTACTTTGATTTAGTTCTAGCAGAGAAGAATCTCGTTCCAGATGGAATTTCAGTGTATGCCTATTATATAACATTGATCCATGAGAATACCACAATCTTTCAACCCCATTCCTACCTTTTGCACAGTGACAAGAAGGGAAAACACATACAATTTGCATATATATGCACAGGTAAATGTTTATATTCACAGATCTTCTTCACCCATCACAAAGATACTAATCATTGACCACCTTCTTCATGGCATAGATCAACACACACAGAAAGATAAGCACATACATACTCATGTGCATGTAAAATATTATATGTATGAAGTACTTTATACTGTCCAGAGCACTTTTTTGTAAGTATATGTGTATTGGTTCACCTGCTTCACAGGGAAAAACCAAGATGCAGGTAGAGCAAGAATTTTTAACCCCATTTTATAAATGAGCAAATTGAGGCACTGATGTTAAATTCATTAAACACGTATTAATTCATCATGTCCTTGCTTAGTCCTAGGTTTTGAGTGAACACATTGTGGTGAACAAATAAATAGACACTTCCCTGCCCTCAGTGAGCTTTCAGTCTAGATGAGGAAAGAGACTTTAATTCCACAAATAACTATTTAATTTCCACATAATATGTAATGTGAAGGGTAAGTACAGAATACTATAAGCATAGATAATTGGCATCCTAACTAATATGAAGTGTTAGGGAATGCTTTCCTAAGCAAATAACATTTAATCAGACTATGATATGATAAATAAGTAGGAATTAAGCAAAGACAGGGGAGCGTTGGAGCCAGAGGACCCACCAGGTTAGACGATCCCTGAGCTGGAAGGAGCCAGGGGTGTGGGAGGAACAGGGAGCAGCCAGGTGAGCTGGAGTGTAGTGAGTGGGGGAAAGAATGGCTCCTGGTGGGGCTGGAGAGGTAGTCAGGGGACGTTTGGTTTGGGGTCCCCTGGAGGATTTTAGAAAAATATGTCCTATAGCAGTGGAAGCCATTGGGTTGTTTGGGGGTTTTTTTAAGCAGGTAGGGATGACATAATCATATTTGTGTTTCTAAAGAAAGAAATTTTGGTTCCAGAATGGAAGATGGATTGGAAGTTGGAGGGACAAGACAGGAGAGAACACAGGGAGACCAGTCAACAGGCAGTAGGTACCGGTGGTCCAGGAAAGAGACAGGGATGGCAGCTGTGACCTAAGTGGTGGCAGTGGCTGTAGGGAAAAAGGGTCACGCTTGAGATATTAGAACATAGAATTGACAGAATTCAGTGATTAAATGGCTGTTGGAGGCAAGAGAGAAAGTTGTCAAGAATGACTCCCAAGCCCTGTGCCTTGCCCAAGGCAAGGACTCCAACGTGTAACTTTACGCCTAGTCCATTATTCCTTCTAGTATACCAATTTGCAGACGCTTTTATAATGTATGTAAGAGGGAAGCCGCTTTTGTTATTGCAGCTGTTGTTTTCCAGCTGCCCAAACAGCAAGACTCCCCAGTCTACTGTGTAGATCTGAAGGATTTGACTGAGAACCAGGGTCTGTGCAGAAGACTATATTGGGCTATATTTGGGACATTCCCACCACTAACATCTTTAAAATAGTAAAGATTTTACTTACTAGCCTGATAAAAGGACAAAGCTGTTGATGACACTTCCATGTTTGTATTTACTCACATTTTCGAGGAAAGACCTGACAGTTTATCTTTCACTGGAACCATGACTTTATGTTAGATATTCTTTTATATATAGTTATAAAAGAAAAATATATTTAAGCCCTGAAAATAAGCACTGATTTACATGCCTAGGGCATGAAGGAAATCGGGTCTGTTCTGCCTCTTTTTCATGTGTTATGTTTGTTTAATTTTTGGATCAAGCTCTGATTTGAGAGTAATCTCGAATGATTTTAGAGTGTAAAGATTTGAATCTTCTACCCACTTGGTGTAAAGGGGAAGAGCAGTAGCAAAGCATGGTGGCATTAATAAGATATAGATAAAACCAAGGTGTTATTTTCAAGCCAAATTGAATTTTACTCTCCTCGTTATTTTTTAAACTACTTGCAAGCCTGGATTATTCCATAGACTGGTATAATAATGGTCTAATAGAGTGAATCGTAGCAGCAGAATGATTTCTTAGCTGCAAGTTAGTTTTATTTTTCTCAAAGGACAGTGTCGGTAGGAAAATATGGTAGTGTGAATAGATTTGAATAAACTGCTAAATTTTAAATTAAAAAGCTGTATTTAACATTATGGTTGAAATTTTACACATACAGAATGTCAGGAAATTCTAAATTATAGTTCCCACAACAGCAGTAATTCAGCCAAATTGCACATATGTATTAAGGCATTAAAGTTAACACTCTGTGCAATCATGTAATAAATACATATGCATAAGAAAGCAAGTTATAGCAGCTTTGGGAACCATCATTTTGCATTTCCTGACTTGTACATTCAAAATCCAAGTTCAAATGTGTACAAATGTAATTGTGTTGAATTTCCATATGTACAAATTCAACTTCATAAATTGCTAACAGTTTAAAAGGAAATACGGAATTGTTTATGAAACTTAAGATTTTAAGTGTTTAATTATTGTTGTGATTAATGTTTTTAGAAATACAAAGCATTCATTCTCAAAGAAACTTCCAGGCCAAAATATATTTGCAATTTTGAAGTTAAGTTATCTGAATTTTAGAGGGAAATAAGTGAAAAAAAATATAGTGATGGATTTTATTTTATTTTTTAATTGCAGAAGTATTATATGCTTTTTGAAAAAAATAAAAAGTCAAAATGTATAAGGAGAAAGATAGTACTCTCCTTCCTTCCTCTCCATTCCCACCCCTCCTGAGGCAACCAGTGATAGCTGCGTGGTATATTACCTTCCACATTTTTCTCCATGTTCTTACAAACTTGTTATAAACACCTATACAGGAAAATTTGTGGGGTAGTTTTTACAAAGACAGGATCATGTTATATATGTTATTGTGTACCTTGCCTTGTGCACCTCTATGTCAGTAGTTAAATCTAATTAACTCTTTTATCAACTGCCTAATATTCCATAGTACAAATGTTATTCAGTCTTTTCCCTCTTTGATAGCTATCCAGGTGGTATCCTGTTTTTTGCCACTTCAACAGCACTGCAGTCGAAATTATTCTTGAGATACACGCCTATACTCTGGTGCTTTTATTTATATGTAATATATTCCCCAAAATGGGATTGCTAGTGCAGCAGCTAGGTATAATTTTAATTGTAAAATTATGCCAAGATTTTTCCCAAAAGGTTATAGCAGTTCACATACCCACCAGAAATGTCTGAGAGGGCTAATTTTTGCTAACTTAATTGGTTTAAATATATATTTCATGGTTGCTTGAAATTTTAATTCTTTATGTAGTATTTTAACTTTTTAATAAATGCTGTATGCCAGGCACTGTCATGAGCACTTCATCAATATTAACTTGATTAGCTCCTCATAATTCTTCTATGAGGTGTGCATTATTATCCCCATTTTATAGATAGGGAAACTAAGTCCCAGAGAAGTTAAGTTACTTGACTATAGTACACAGCTAGGGAATCAGCATTTGAACGTAGGCAATCTTATCTACACTCTTTCACTACTAATCTATGCTACCTATATTAGTGACATAGTGACATTATATTTTTAGAGTTTCTTTCTTTGTTGTCATTTGTAAGCACTCTTTATCAGTATAAGTATTTGACTATGTGTTGAAAATGTTTTCTTTCACTCTATTATTGGTCTTTTCACTTTATTTTTGGTATCTTTAAAACTCTTGTTATTTCCTTTTAATTTTTAGATGATCAAATGTATCTATATTGATTCTAGTTTTAAAATACTTCAGACAATGGAGAAGTTTTCTTTAAATCACAATTATTATACAAATCAAATGGTTTGCAGCAGCAATTCATAATTCTTACCATATATTATCATTTTACTCCTGAAGTTACTATGTACTATATGAATTTTGAGATTTGCTTGGCATTTTGGTTCCTCAGGTTGTCACTGAGTAACTGTTATGTGCTGAGTATCGTTCTAGCAGTTCTACCCTCTCTCATCAGCAGCATTTTTCCCTTCACTGCATCTTTGCCATCAGTATACAAACCGACTCTTTCTCCTTCTTAAATATAACCTTCTATTAACCCCACTTCCTTTACCAACTACCACTCCACTTAAAGAAACTGCTTAGATATACCTTACCAGTGAAGCCTATGCAGACTCTTGTATTTAAAATTATAACACACTTCCTCCCAGTACTTTCAATTTTATCGACTCTACTTTTTATTTCATTTAAAGCACTTTTTACCTTCTAACGTGCTACATAATTTATGAGTATTTCTTCTCGAATTAGAATCTAAGCTGTTTGAGGACAGAATCTCACCAGCACATAGTAGTCTTTCAGTAAATACTTTTTAAGTGAGTGAATGAATACATTAATGCCAAGTAGTGGGGAAACAGAAACAAATAAGATATTGTCCCAGCACAGAGAAGATATTGTCCCAGCATTTCAATACAATGTGACAAATTCTGTGGTAGAGGCATCCTGAAATTTTCATTAGGAAGGGAAACACGTAAAGAAGGTAGCTTAAGTGAAGATCTCCCTCAGACAAATTTGAAAACCATTGAACTAAAAGATCTACACATCCATTTTTTTCTTTTATATATGTAAATATACATGTGTGCATATATGTATCAGTATGCAAGATCTTAGTAAAATAGGTAGGTTTGTGCAGAAATTTAACCTGAAAGTTCAAATAGGTAATCAGACCAATAGTATAAAAATTTATACTCAGATTCATCTTTACTTTTCTGTTGTTTACTCGGTAATCTGTAATATGTGGTATAGTCTGTGAATAAATCAGCATATTTTCATATTTAAATTTAACAGTAATTTCTAATGTACAGTTCTTTTTCTCTGAACAGAGCATGTGACCATCTGCGTTGTATAGCCTGTGATTTCTGGGTAGTAAGCTGCGATGACTATGGGTGGGACAAATCATGTGATTACCTGTTTTTCAGGTATGTTTCTAAAGAACTTCACTCTGTGAAAAATGTACTTAATATATAACTTTATATTTCTTACTGTGCAGTAATGCCTCTTGGTGACCTTGGCCAGATTGTGTGGCCTCCACCTCTTTGATATTTCTCGCATCATCTCCTCCTTTCCATCTGTCTGCTGTCAGCCTAGTTAAGGACATGTTACTTCTGGACAGGAGTTCAGAAGTAGCCTCCTCACTGATTTTCCTGTGTACAGTCTCTTCTTCCAGACCACCCTTCACTTGCTGAGAATTAAAGCATAACTCTGAGTATGCCATCCTCTTGCCCAAAACCCTTCTGCTTACAGAATAATGTCCAAATTCCTCAGCATGGCATTCAAGACCTTCCATAATCCAGTCCCCAACTATCTATTACCCAGCTTTGTTTGTCTTTCCATGGTATACTTTTCACCTTTGCAAGATTTTAGCTACATCAAAACAGTGCTCCCGGGGCTTCCCTGGTGGCGCAGTGGTTGAGAGTCCACCTGCTGATGCAGGGGACACAGGTTCGTGTCCCGGTCCGGGAAGATCCCACATACCGTGGAGCGGCTGGGCCCGTGAGCCATGGCCACTGAGCCTGTGTGTCCAGAGCCTGTGCTCCACAACGGGAGAGGTTACAACAGTGAGAGGCCCGCATACTGCAAAAAAAAAAAAAAAAAACAATGCTCCCATAATGCTCCCATTCCCTATGACTTTGTATAAACTCTCCACCTCTTGGGCTACCTTCCCACCATTTTATCTACCTAAACCCTACCTGTCCCTCAGGGTATGGTTCATTGCTCATCTTCTATGATTCCCTTACCACTCTCTCAACTTGGAAGTAAACTCATCCTCTTCCGTGTGTCCACAGCACGTTGTACCGGTTATAGCACTTACTGTAATAAAAGACTGAAAATATCTTAGGTTGGTGTATGTCTGCCTCCCTCCTTGTGGTTGGGATAGTGTCTTACTTATATTTTTGTAATTTGTACATCCTTAAATACTCAGTGAATACCTAATGTTTTTAAGTTATAAAAATGTATCTGGGGCTTCCCTGGTGGCGCAGTGGTTAAGAATCCACCTGCCAATGCAGGGGACATGGGTTCGAGCCCTGGTGCGGGAAGATCCCACATGCCGTGGAGCAACTAAGCCCGTGTGCCACAACTACTGAAGCCCGTGCGCCTAGAACCCGTGCTCCGCAAGGAGAGAAGCCACCGCAATGAGAAGCCTGTGCACCGTAACCAAGAGTAGCCCCCACTCGCCACAACTAGAGAAAGCCCGAGCGCAGCAAAGAAGACCCAACGCAGACATAAATAAATAAATAAATAAAATAAAATTAAAAAAAAAAAAAATGTATCTGAACTGTACATTCACATTTTCAAATAAAAATTAAGGGCTAAAAATTAGTAAAGTACACATATCATGCATTTTTGGCCCCCCAAACCTGTGCCTAAGCAAAGACTATATTTTCAGGTACAAGTCATCAGAATTATTGCAGCACTCTTCAGTAGCATAAAGAAAACCGTGCGAGGCTTTCTTCACACCTCTCTGGCATCCATTCTCATGTAAATCTCTAGGAGTCTCCTCTAGTGTTAATGTAAGAGTTTTTAAACTTTTCACATCAAGAACTGTTCTGAAAATCTGAATCCTCTCAACATACACACAGAAAGATTCAAATATGCAGATACATAGAAAAATTACAATTTGAGAGATTTCATAGTACCCAACCCAAATAAAGCCTGGTGTGGGCCCAAAATCCCAGGTCAAGAGCCCGTACTGTTTGGGGCTCTGAAGCTCAGATTAAGAAATGTAGACTGTAAAGTGGTAGATGAAACCATGAAACTGGATGATATTACCCAGAAAGGTGACTTGGAAGCCTGTCAGTGAATGCAGAGTTAAGGGATCATTTAGTTAAGATAGGAGATGCTGGGACTTCCCTGGTCCAGTGGTTCCCTTAACCGCTGGTCCAGTGGTTAAGAATCAGTCTTGCAATGCAGGGGACGCTGGTTCGATCTCTGGTCAGGGAACTGAGATCCGAAATGCTGCAGGGCAACTAAACTCATGTGCTGCAGCTAGAGAGCCCGCATGCCGCAACTACAGAGCCCACACACTCTGGGGCCCATGTGCCACAACCAGAGAGAAGCCCGCACACCACAACGAAGAGCCTGCATGCCACAACGAAAGATCCCACGTGCTGCAGCTAAGACCTGACACAACCAAAAATAAATAAATAAATAAATATTTTTTTAAAAAAGATAGGAGATGCTTTGATGTTTATATTGGGGGGGGGGGGGGGGGGGGGAAGACAAGAGAAGGGAAGGTTATGTGAGTAACAAGGTCCTGGAGGCTTTGGGGTCTAGAGTGCTGATGGAAAGTGGGCCTTGGATAGGAAGAGGCCGCCTCTGTGCCTGGGTGGAAAGAGGTCATATACTGATGTGTTCAAGGGGACAGCTAGGAAATGGAGGCCTTTTCACATCTCACTGCCTGATTTTGTGAAGGAAGATGTGATCTGCTTGAAAGTAGAGGGGAGAGGAAACACTTGAGGGCAATAAGTGTATCCTAGCTTTGAGAAGTTCTAGAACTTTCTAAAAGAAGTATAAGCTATACTTGACCAGCCTGCCATGATAGCTAAGTAAAATGCTCGTATTTTTCTATTAAACTGTGTTTGCTTTATGGGAAATAATGAAATTTTCTTTCTCAGCTTTTAAAATACGCACTACTTGAAATGTATTAATTATTGATAGTTCCTTGGCTTTCATGATTCCTACTCCTGAAATCTCTAAGTATTCAATCAAGTGTGACATGTTAAGTTTGTCAAAATATATTGCAGATTGAATAAAGGACAGTCCTTCATTTAGCCATTTAGTTTTCATTAAACACATTTAGTTTTGTTTGGCTTTTTTCTTTGCAGTAAAACTTATTCAGTTCTTCCCCTATCTCACTGCAACCTTAGCTAAGTTGTTCAGCTGGTCAAAGTCTCAGTTTCCTGAAGTCAGACAGTTGGCCTGGAAAATCTCTTAGGTTTTGTTAGGGTCTAACCTCAATTGTGCCTGAATTTTGTGCAGTACTGAATGTGGTGCCCATTGGCCACCAGAGGGCACTTTGTTTCCTGCTTTCTGTAGCAGTGACATCAACAGTTAACAGTGTATTTCTTTCTTTAAAAGTACTTATACTGTATTTCATCATTTCACTATGTATTTTTTCATCATTTCACTTTGAATTTTTTCATTTTCTTTTGTCATGGAATATTTACATAAATTCAGTACATGGACTGAAAATCATAATTGATTTTCTATTAATTAAATTTAACTTCTGCAGTCTTTTTTATAATAGCATCAAGTCAGATGGTTATCGTTTTTCATGAGTTCTGCGCATAGGTTTAATTATGTTAAAATTACTGACATTTATTTCAGGATAGGCATTTGTTTTGTTTCTGGTAGTGTACGTAAATAAGCAGATCATTGAAACAAATGAGATATAATATGAATTCAACACATAGAAATAACAAGCACTTTTTCTCTATTAATGAAAAATTTCTATAGTTAACCCATCAGAAGCCTGTTATCTTTATGCCTCTTATATGCCCTCCATTTGCCACACTGCTGGCTTTATTTTTTTTTTTTTTTTTTTTTGCGGTACACGGGCCTCTCACTGTTGTGGCCTCTCCCGTTGCGGAGCACAGGCTCCGGACGCGCAGGCTCAGCGGCCATGGCTCATGGGCCCAGCCGCTCCGCAGCACGTGGGATCTTCCCGGACCAGGGCACGAACCCGTGTCCCCTGCATCGGCAGGCAGACTCTCAACCACTGCGCCACCAGGGAAGCCCCTCCACACTGCAGGCTTTTAAAATATGGCACAGGTGAGTATTTGAGGTAGGAGATGAACCACCATCTTTTCCACTCTATTCTTATATCATGTAGTCTCTGATAAGACAGATCAATGATTCTTCTCTTTAGGTCACTGTGTTCTACAACAGCCTTAATAAACAGACCTAGAGGATTGCCATTTAAAAACATTGAAATCCTCAGAAAGAGAACGCCAAAGTGTATCTTCTGTTTTTCATGTGAGAGCACCAGGTAGTTTAGCGTTTGGATGTTGTGAAGATAGGAAAATAAAGCAGTTAGAATTTCTTTTTTGTTTTTTTAAGTCATTAAGCACTGAACAAAGCTACTATGCTAAAACCTTCTTATTTTACTAATAGGAACAATATGCCAGAATTCCACAAATTAAAAACAAAGTTGGTAAAGAAGAAAGGAACACGGGCATACGCCTGCCAGTGCAGCTGGAGAACCATTGAAGAGCTGACTGACCTTCAGACGGATCATCACCTTCGCTGGGTTTGCGGTAAACACTGAGAACGCAGACTTTCCACATTCAGACAAATGCATCCATGAGAACAGTCTCTATTAACTGTCACAATATTTAGGTAAAGGTACATAGTATCATGCCCTTTGGAAAAGACAGGAAATTTCATTTAATGGCTGTATAAATTTTCAAAGACCAAATGGACTTGGGAAGATAATGTGCTTTAATGTTTTGGAATTATTCCTTTTTGATATATGGACATTTCACTTAGGAAGTAAGGTAACAAGTTATCCAAATACTTCTTTGCTAGCCTGTCCCCTGTTAAATAGAAATTTCATTGTGGAGTTTCATACAAATGTATAGCCATTCAGTAGCAACTGCAGTGTTACTGACTGCTAGTATACTTAGCATAAACATTCCTCTTTATAGCAGTTAAAAGGGATAAAGCTGGCCCTGCAGAGAGGTCATTGAGGGGTGTACACATCACCTCTTCCAGTCAAATCTGTTGTTAGCAAAGATCATAATTTAGACATGTCAGAAACCATGTGATCAGTGGCTAATTGAAGGGTTTTCGGGAATATAGGTATATTGTAGGTGAAAACACTGCCTGTATCTGATCTAACTTCACCAATTCAAAGCAATACTATGCACAGTAGTAAGTATATATTACCAGTTTTAGCTTATTTCTCCTCCTTTTGTTCATTTAGATACCAGAAGTTATTTAGTTTGCTCTTTTAACAAGTATCCATTTCTATATAAAAGTGGTTTTTTTTGATGCACCTAAAAGTACAAGGAAAAATCCTAATACAGACAGGTCATTTTTGGATTTTCCAAGTACCTTCTTGCCTTTAATGCCCTAAAACTCCATTAAGTAAAGAGAACAGCAAGTAAAATATATTCTCAGGCAGCCTGTAGATTTTTCTGGTAGGATCAGGTTGACATACTGTTTATTGGTGAGTACATGAAAAAAGAAAGCATAGCTGAACCAACAGGTAGCCTGTTGGGCTCCTTCTTAATATGACTAAGACTTGAGGAGCCCTACAGTAGCAGCACATTCAGAAGATCGGTTACCTCAAAATTACCAGCTCGCAGCCCCATCAAGAGATTCCAATTTGCCAGCAGCTCTTTACCGCCTGTGTCTAATATATTGTTCAAATGCGTGACACAGGCTTGCTGAAAGCGAGGAACTGAAGCAAAGTTATGATCTGCGTAGTCTTATACTGAATCTGTTCCAGCCATTTTACTCAGGCAAAGAAAGATCTGGTCATTAAACTCCTTCTCCTAACCGTGACACATTTGCATATGTGTATCACTTGCTCCAGTAAGTCTAGTATTCCAACAGGATAAATCTCATTGTGGCAGATGCTCACATTTTTTGTATTAAGAATATGTTTACCAATCTTATCTTTCAATAAAAATTTTTTACCCCCTGAACTTTCATCTCAGTGTAATTGTGTCGGAAACATAGTGGGGGACTTCCCTGGTGGCGCAGTGGTTAAGAATCCACCTGCCAATGCAGGGGACATGGCTTTGAGCCCTGGTCTGGGAAGATCCCACATGCCACGGAGCAACTAAGCCTGTGTCCCACAGCTACTGAGCCTGCATTCTAGAGCCCGCGAGCCACAACTACTGAGCCTGCATGCCACAACTACTGAAGCCTGCATGCCTAGAACCCGTGCCCTGCAACAAGAGAAGCCACCTCAATGAGAAGCCTGCACACCTCAGTGAAGAGTAGCCCCTGCTCACCGCAACTAGAAAAAGCCCGCGTGCAGCAACGAAGACCCAATGCAGTCAAATAAATAAATACATACATACATTTAAAAAAAAATTGATCCTTTTAAAGAAAATAAAAAAGGAAATGGGGATTTGGATTGAAGTTGCCTATTTCAAAAATAGCAAAGCAACAAGATCCACACATTCAGAACCTCATGGAATTTGGCACATTTAATCATAATGGTGATTTCTTTTTAATTTAAATGAGCAAATTTACTAAATTATGGATTTGAAATTTTTTTCCTCTTTTATTATTTCATCATAACTATTCTATAACTTAGATATGTTGCCCATGTTTGGCATTCCATAACATAATAATTATAATAATTAGTTCTCTAATGTCAGAAATGTATAAATGAGTTCACATTTTTGTTGGCAATTTATAAACTTTTTAATATTGTATAATTTTTAATCGAAAATGTAGAAAGAATATTATGTTTATATACAAATGTATAGATTATTACCAGTTGTAATTTAAGCCAAAATGCAGCTATTTTAGTATCAATGTAGAAGAACAGTATAGTTTCTAATCAACTATAATTTTTAAGGACAAAGTCTGTAAAACTTTCAAGATGTTTTGCATATTTATTTTCAATATTCATAATAATTTTCTACCTTTAATGAGTATTTTTTATCAAGCCAGGTAGCTACTTTATTTGAACTGCATTGTACTCTCAGACACTTATCTTGCCTAGAAATGAATAAATAATAAGTAGCTTTACTCTGTATTTAGGTGTATTTTTTTGTTTTATAATAAAATATTCATTTGGGGATTAATTTGATATAATCTTGATAATTTCCTTTAAAATGTCAACAAAATGTTTCCAACCATCCAGTTGAACAAAGAATTTATTTATTTTCATCGGGGAAGAGAGGCATGCCATAAGTTTTAGTGTGGGTGTAAGCGTGAATTTGTGTACATGCACGTGTAAGAGAGTGTAGTAGCTGAAAGAACAGGTCCAAGTGCAGGAAGGAGCCATGTTGATATGGTGGTGTGCATCCAGACCTGTACGGTGATGTCAGTACACTTAACACTTCTTTTCTTGGGCCAAAGAAGATGGCATCAAACTATGGTTTCTAATCGTCTTCCTTCCTTTTCTTACTCATCTGATATTTTTAAATGTGGTGGGAAAAAGGTCCTGAATCCAGTAAGTATTGTGATGAAGCTCAACAGTAACTCGAATGTTGATTTTTTTTTTCAGCTGTTAGGTTTTAACAAAACTTCTATCAGCTGATACCAGCTAGTAATCAGCTTTACATACTGTTTAAGGTAATTCTGGAAGGAAAGAAAAAATTCAAAATATACAATCTCTTTAGAGATTTTACATTGTATCACTTTTATTTGGGTTGGTGACACCAAAATGTGCCCTATTTAAAAATATTGCATGGAATATATAGATATACATATGGTTGATAATTAAATTTGTTTTCAGACTTTCCCCGAAGATAATGGGTGACAATATGAAGTGTTACAAAATCAGAGTTGAAAGTCATGTCCTGTGGAAAGTTACTAAACTTTTGGGGTTTCCTTTGCCTCATCTATATGAGTGGTGATACCTCTCTTGTAAGCTTGTTGTAAGGATTAAATCATATAACGTGAAAATAATATAGCAGTATAGTTTTTAGTTCAGAATAAGTGCTTAATAAATTCCTTCATTCGTCTTTCTAAAAGTAATACTATCTAAATTAATTGGTACAACATGTTTCTTATAGGAAAGCATTTCACCACATGTTTGTTTATTCATTCCCTAAATATTCCATATGAGGAAGGTAGCTCTGCTGTCACTTTTATTTGATAACTAGTAAATGTAAACATGTCTAGCTTTATTTTTGTATAAGTTGAAATAACTTTCAAACACAAAAAAACAAAACACCTGCTCACCCTAACCTCTTCTTCCTGTCTGGTTTAAACCTAGTTGATCTTCATGAAGGCCTTCCAGGCTTTTCACAGTATTTTTTTGGCTTCTTCTGCCTTTTCTTCCCTCCTCTTCCAACTAGACCTACAGCCCCGCACTGTTCCTTAGATACACTTCACATCTTACTGTCTTAATGTTCCTGCCCTCCCTCATCTTATTCTATCAAAATCCGACTCATTTTTTCAAAGCCTGTGTCTTGTACACTAGTGGTTCTCAGAGTGTTGTCCACTCACAGAGGAGTGCCCAGGAGTCTTTCAGGGGGTGCACATGGTCAAACCTATTTTCATAACACTAAGACGTTAGTGCTTTTACACGTTTTCACTTTGTTGACATTTATACTCGTGGTGCAAATAATAAAAACTGCTGGCACCTTACGATTCAAAGCAGTGGCACCATGCACTTGCAATAGAAAAAGTCAGTTTCACTTAAGAATGTCCTTCATAAAGGCAGTAAGATTAATAAAGCATATCTTTTAAATATTCTGTGTGATTAATGGGGAGTACACAGAAAGCACCTGTGCAATCTGTGAGCTGCACAAACCACTTTTTTCATGGAATCCACTTTTGCTTGAAAGAACAACTGACAAACTATGGGTATTCAGACTTACTTAGCATACATTTTCTCAAAAATTAACAAAGTGAGTCACCTCCAGGAAAATTACTGGTTAGTATTTGTTGCCAATGATAAAACGTAAGTCTTCAAGCAAAAATTAGAATTTTGGAAAACTCGTATCTACCAATCTGAGCATGAGACTTTACTGATGAGACTAGTAGTGATTCGAACAAGTGATTTGCAGTGGATTTCAGTTAATTAAATAGGTTTTCATGTTTTCAGTTTTAATTTCTAATATAAATATCAATAGATATAATCACAAAAAAACAAGCTCTTTGGGGTTTGCAGTAATTTTTAAGACAGTAAAAGGGTCCTGTGACCAAAAAGGTTGAGGACTGTTGCACATTGTTGATTACCTCACCCCAGACTAAAGGTGTGATTTCTCCCCCTCCCATCTGCTCTCAAACTTTCTATTTCTCATATAATGCCTTGTATTATAATTATCTGTGTGCTTATTTTATATTCATCTTGGAGATTAGATTGCAATATCTTTATAGTCTGCAATGATCTCCTAGTGGTACAGGGGAAACTATCTGGGACCGTGTGCCACTAACTTCCTGGGGCATCGTGGGTAAGCCACTGAGTCCTGGGCTTCAAATTCAAAATGAGAGTTGAATTTAATGACATATGAGTTTCCTTCCAGCTTGAGATACTTGAATACTGTTCCTCTTAGAATGCCTTGTGGGTCCAGTGTTGTGCTAGCCATACGTTGGGAGATGGTGCTCGTGTTGTGAGGAAGAGCCCAGATTCTGGGGCCAGAGAGATGCAGGTTTCCAAAACGCATGATCTGCATCCCCTTGGAGCTTTCAGTCAGTGGCAGAAAGAAGTGAACCACTGACTGCTGAGGCCATGAATACTCTCTGAGAGAAGTAAACAGCGTCCTTACAGAGCATAGGCATTGAAATCCAAGTGGGAGGGAAGGAGGCTCTTCTTTCATGTAGGTAATGATTCTTAAGTTGTTTTTAAAGAGCTGCAAGTAAATTTCTTTGGCTTGATTTATACCGCAGATATGGCAGAGTGGTGTGGTTAGATAAGAGGCTGCACTGGAGAGGTAGGATTGGATTAAGAACCTGTCCCATGTGGTCCCATGAGATGGAACTAATTGGAAGATACTGTCGAGGGAGAAAGATGACGAACACTTCTTCCGAGTGACGCGTACTATTTGTGTGGAACTTTTGTTCACAATTAATCTTCCCCTTCCTTCCAAGAGGACTGCATGTCCTCATCTGAACTCAGGGGGAGAAGAATAACATCTCAAACTTTGAGAATGAAAGGACCTCAGGGAGCCATTCCAAGAAAGCCTTGTTAGTTAAGGCAGTGTAAGGGCATGTGGAGTTCACCACAAAAGGGCATTCCGGAAGGTGTGGGGAATGAAGTTGCCCAGGGGCAACACTGCGGGGAGGTGAGTGAGTAGGGGATGGCTAGAGATGTTGAGCAGTGTTGAGATGAGAGCCTGAAGGAACTTACATTTTAGCCAAAAAGCAACAGGGAGAGAGACCTGGGGGGTTGGCTGGCCTCACAGATCTAACCAAACTCTGGTTCCAACTAGAAGCAAGATGGTTTCTCTGCATGACATAGGCTCATGTCCCTGAGTGATGACCCAGGCTGCTGGACTGCTGTGTCTTGCATCCGGTCAGCTGTCTACCCTTTACTCTCAGGTTTGAATAGAACTGATTCTGATAAAATCCAAATTGTTAGGAGACTGCAGAGCTCATCTCTGCCTAGAAGAGTACAAAGTACCCAAGAAAAGATGTTTTGTAATGTAGTCATCGTCATCAGAAGGCCATTTGTAGGAACTCTGAATACTAGTGAGTAAGGCCTTTCTTCTCAAGGATTTGTTTATCAAAACAAGTTATTTTCAGGGACCTGAAAGGATCGAGATTCAGACAGATAAAGAAGACCGGCCGGCCCAGGCTTCAGTTTTGCTAGAGATCAATACCAGAGGAGAGGCAAGAAGGCTGGACTCAGGAGATAGTTTTATCATTATTCTTATTTACAGATGAAGAAACTGAGACACAAAGAACTTGCCCAAAATCACATAGGTTGTAAATAGCAGAGTAGGATTCAAACCTAGATCCACTTGACTCTCCATCTGTGTGTAAAGGGAAAGGAGAAGTTGCTTTCTGCCAGATG